CGTGTGACACCCCCTCACATACCTGCATGTCGCCAACAGATCCCCTCTGAGTCTCCTCCAGACTGAAGAGACCCAGTTCCCTCAGTCTCGTCTCATACGGCTTTCCCTGCAATCCAGCCACCTTCCTTGTGGCCCTACACTGCACTGACTCCAACCTATAAATGGAATGGGGTTAGGTGTAACTGTCATTCACGTTCCTTAATTCACTCTGAGGCTGATCTCTCTGTTGAATTCTAAAAGAGTGGGGTTCCTTCCATTAATGTAAGGAAGCTGGTACATAGTACAGTACAGTGACTTGGCTTCTTGTGGCATAGGCTGCTGTCTTGAACTACACGGGCTACCAGTTGACTTCCAGACCTTCAAAACCCCAATTTGGGGCTGTATCCAATTTTGTTTGTCTGCCAGTAGACCAAACACCAGGGCATTCCTTTCCTCTTGTAGCTCCTACAACACACAAATTAATCCTCCAAACCATTTGAAGAGCACTGGGTTGTGGTGGGGTGGAAGCAGAGAAGTGAGCGGATAGAACCTATTGACTGCTGCAGTCACAGATAATCTTAAACCATGGCATATATTAGCCACAGTTAATTGCTTTAGCCATGAATTGTTCTCTAGAGGAGCAAACAAGCCTAGAACATTTACTCTGTTTCCAGTTTGCCTCTCTTTGCCATTTTCCAGGCCTCAGAGAAGTTTCATGGTTAGGCTGTTCTGCTGGGCACCTTTGTTTCAAGTAGGACAGCAGTGAAAACAAGCCAGGAATAAGCCACAGCTCTGGGTTCAGATAAGCCATGTCTTATGCAGCTAAACTCCATAAGCCAACAACAATTCATGGATTCTATTTGTTGTTTATACCTGGTTAACCATGGTTTGTTTGCAGAGCTAGGTTCAGACAGAATGGTCTGGCTGGCCCAGAGTGACATAAGGGTAAGCTCCCGCACACATGACAGTTGTCATGAGTATGCCACCCCAAGTGGGGCTTGCAGGACTTCGGCCGCACCTTGTCAGTATGGGTTATAAGAAGGTTAGGAAGCCTCACAGAACCATGATTTAAGCAACCCTGGGTGAGCTTGGCACATTGTGGGAACGGGTCCTAACAGCTGCTAACAACCCATGATGGGTGAATCTGCACAAAAGCCCCCCGTGCCTTGCAGTTTGGATCAATGGGGCAGGCAGGGGAGGGGGACCTGGCCAGATGCCCAGGGAGGGATGCCTGCGGCTGGATTGTTCTCACAAGGCTGCTGATAGAGAAGAAGTGACTCGTGTAAGCCACTTTGGGCTCCTTGCAAGAGGATGAAAACAAGATGTCACAATAACCAGCACGTGCACTAGAATTTACCGTGGGTTAAATAACCAAGCGTGAGCCTGCCATATCATGTGAACCAAGGTGCTGTAGTGGTTAAGAGGGTGGGGCTGGGGGTCAGGCAATCTGGGTTCCAGTCCCCGCTCAGCCATGGAGCCAACTAGGTGACTTTGGGCCAGACACAGACTCTCAGCCCAACCTACCTCACAGGGGTGTTGTTGTGGGGATAAGATTGAGAGGAGGAGAATTGTGTAAGCCACCTTGAGTTCTTTAAAAAAGAAATAAGGTGGGATATCAAATAAATAAACCAGGTCATATTCTGAGCTGCCATTATGTGCCAGCCAGGCCATTCTGTCTGAACAACCTTGAACAACCCAGGGTTTGTTTGTTGTTGGGTTGTGAATAGTGTATTGTTACATGTGAACCTTGCACTATGGTTTAACTGTGGGTTGTTAGCCAGAAATAATTGTAGTTAACAACTCATAGTACAACCATAGTGCAACTACACACTGTTCAGTGACAACCTGTACTCAGTCCATATTCTGGTTTGTCATTGCGTGTCTGCAACAAACCAGTTTTTAACCAACCACATCACATGCCTTAGGAGTTTTTCCAAACTAGCCCATTGACCTGTATAGACTGGGTCCAGCCTACAGAGCCTTTATATCTCTTGATGTGAGGAAGACACCATAATCTGCTCCTTCTATCATCTCTGCTAAGACCAATGATACTGTTTAGTTTTTAAAACTTCAGCCAAGTCATTCATTTGAATTGTTCTTCCCTCCCCTAAACCCCTTGTACAAAAGCTGGGCCATTTTATTCTTTACTTTTCAGAGAAATACCTTGAAGGTTTGTTTTAAAGCTGACTTGCGGGTGATGGAGTAATAAATAATACAGAAATATTCAGTAGTTCAAATGCCTTTGTGGCCTGCGCATTATAAGCAGAATTCAGTCCCAGCTGTCTGCCTTTTTTATTCATCATGGCAACCATTCTGTATATTAACTATCTGATGCAAAGAAAACCAGGTCCTATGCATGCATTAAATCTTGAAGGGGGCTTCATTTCTGCAATGCTATTTTTCTCTGCTGTACCTAAAAAGCATTTTCATCCATCATGGCCTTTTAAAATGACTTTCCATAAAGGAACTGGATTTTATATAATCCTCTTCAATATGTAAAGTCTAGATAGTCCAAGTGCCTTGTGGGCGTCTTTTTGAAAAAAGAAAGACAACTTTCATTTTGAAAAGCAAGTGACAAGGCTACCAAGAGATTCCTAGCCTGTGACTTATGTATGTTTAATTAATTTGTCTTGAAAGTGACCTGAAAGTGTCAGTATAGAAGAGTGTCTCTTCATATCATGCTTATATGAACTAAAACCGAGCAAGCATAACATGAATCTTTGAATATGTTACGCTTCTTGACCTATTTTGTCTCTCTTCTGGGGGTTTTGCTCCGGCGTGAATGCAGCACTTGTCCAAAGGGCGGGCAGAGCAAAAGGGGAGTTGGGAAATACACCCCCTCCCAGGAATGGTGGTAAGGCCAGTCCACAGTTGGTTTGTTTTAACATGTCATAACGGAAGCTCTTGAAGACTAATTAAGTTAGCATTGTGCCTTGCATGATTCAGAGCTTTATTACCCGCAGACCCATTTGTTTCAAAGCACCAAAACACCGGGAATGGCTCCAAGGTTTACAATGTTTTATTTAAAGGCGGGGGGGGGGGGACTACTTCTATGTGTTTTCCAGTGAGCAGGTCCTAAAACATGGCTCCACTGGAAGCCAGATCTTTCATGCATGTGTTGATTGTGCGAACCAGTCATTCCCACTGGGATACGCTTGTGACCATTCACGGCCTCCTTTTTTGCCAGGGACACTTTCCGACAAGCCTTTTGTGATGTCATCAACCTGCCTCATTCTTGGAATTTCACAGCGGGACCAGAAGATGCCATTCTCAGTCCGTAGCCCTCCCACTGCATCTCCTGTCTTTTTTCCATCATGTCTTCTATCTTTTTGGTTGACTGAAGAAAATCCATAAAGAACAGTCATATTACGGTTGATCTGGTATATACTGTTTCCCCCCTCCAAAAAGCCATCTCAGGGCTTCTTACACACAACAGAGAAATGCAAGCAGAAAAATGCCAAAATAAATATAAACCACATCAGCACAGCAAGCCAAATATAACAGCATAAAACAATCTAAAAACAATATGATATGAAAGGGCTCATCCACAATGCAAAAACTTCAGTCTGCCCTCCCACAGGCTAGCATGCACACTAGAATAACAGCCTGTAACATCTGGATCATAAATAATGCCCAAATACCTGAGAAAATGAGCGTGCCTTTTCGCATGGTGCAGGGCTCCTCTGGCTAGAAGCACCCAACCTGCGCTTGCATCCCCAGGTAAAAAGGTGCTCCAAGGCTCTGCGTAAGTTTTGTTCTGCAAAGGTGGGCACCGGCATTGCAAAATAGCCCCTAAGAGCCGTGCAGTGTTCCGAAACCCCAGGGCAACAATCCAGTGTTTCACCTGTGGGGAAGCCCCACTGATCACAGCTTTAAGTCTGAGTAAACCTGGATAGGTCTTCGCTGCAAGCACACTTCCAAAATAAGCTACACCAAATCCAGCACTTTATTTGCTTTGTGAGACAAGGGATTTCAAAAGAGCCTCAGAAGGCAATGGTGTAAGTTTGGCAACAACGATTTTAGGGAGTGGATTGTGCTTTCACCAGCATATTTATTGATCTTCGTAGTACTGCAACCTTAACAGAAGCAATCTGAGGACTCCTAGACGTGGTCTGAGAGGCACAGGATACTAGGGCTTCTCTCCTCTGAGGTCAGAGGCGGTGTTTTGACCTCAGGAAGAAGCAGACTCAGAGAGCCAACCACCCTCTTGCAACCAGCACAGAAAGAGCCATGCTCCCGAGGTCAGAAACTTGACCTTGCCTGGCTTCCTTCCATCCTCCTCAAAGCACCGCATCTAGGCAGACAAGAAAGCCCGATCATCAAAGAACGTGATGCAGGAGGACAGGACGGCAGTGCTTGACTCCACCGCCCCTCCCTTTCTGCATTACGATTGGAAGTCTCCGAAGTTAGACACTTCCAGTCGTCAAGGCACCAATCAATAGGATCGTGGTGACACTGTAAGGGAATTCTTTGAAAGAACAGTTGCGGTATGAAATGAAAGGGGGAAGAAACACACATTCCACCTTGTGCTCCTAAAGAAAGTGTAGAATAACAGAAGGGGAAAGAGAGCTTGCATTTCATGGTCCGAGTGGAATCCTCCTTGCACAGAAGCACCAATATACCAATTTCCTTCCCAACGGCACTGCCTTGGAGTCTCCTACTCCAAGAGGTTTGTGCTGTTCTGGAGTTCTTTGATAGTAGTTGGAAGTCTGGGGAATTCAAGCTACCTGGTGGGCCGAGGGAAGATGAGGCAAGACGAGGAACTGCTGAACTGTGATGCTTCCTTCCCCAGGGGAAGCCCAAGGAAAGTAGGGTGATTCTTTGTGAGATGGAGGACAGCATGCCTGGTCTGTGTGTTCGCGTGACAGTGCTGTTTTTTTCTGTTTTCGTAGATACATCTAAGCAGTACCTGATGGATGCTTTTGATGGCAAAAGCTGGGAGATAAGGAGTTGGCAACACTAGTCCTAGAACTTTTCTGAAGCCTGTCACATCAAAGCATGGCCGAAAATAAAGAAAGGACTCCTAAAAACACAGATGTGAGACCTAAAGCGAACCGGAGTAGAAGTGCAGACAGAAAAGATGGCTATGTATGGAGTGGAAAGAAGCTTTCTTGGTCTAAAAGAAGCGAGACCAGTTCTGATGCTGAAATGGCAAGCACATCTGGAAAATCTACGTTTAGTTTAAAGACCCAGGAGAGGAAACACAGCTGTTCCTCCACAGAGTTGGACCTGGAACAGTCCTGTGGCCACAGGTTCCTAGGGCGTTCTCTGAAACAGAAATTCCAGGATGCCGTGGGCCAGTGCTTTCCCATGAAGAATTGCGGCAGTCGGCATTCTTCAGTGCTTCCGTCCAAGAGGAAAATACATATCAGTGAGCTTATGCTGGACAAGTGCCCTTTCCCGCCACGGTCGGAGCTAGCCTTCCGGTGGCATTTAATCAAACGGCACACCGCGCCTGTCAAGCAACGATCCGAAAGTTGGCTGAGCATGGAGTCGTCGCAAGGTGAAGGGAAAGAAGGAGAACTGCGGGATGTGGAGAGTGCCGACGGAGGAGGGCCGGCCGCTCTGCAGGCCGGTGGCATCGGCGATGGCGTTTCCTGTAGATGTGACTCACAGGGCGAATCTGTCCTGGGTAGGCAGCTGAAGATGAGCACAGAGGAGAGTGACATGGACTCTGACGACGAAGTGGTGACACTGTGTACCAGCTCCAGGAAGAGAAACAAGCCCCGATGGGAAACGGACGATGAGCTGCTGCACCTGGAAACGCCTCCTAAATATCACACCCAGATCGACTATGTTCATTATCTTGTCCCTGACCTCCTCCAGATCAATAATAACCCATGCTATTGGGGAGTGATGGATAAATACGCTGCCGAAGCACTTCTAGATGGAAAGCCAGAGGGGACCTTTTTGTTACGAGACTCTGCGCAGGAGGATTACTTGTTCTCCGTAAGTTTCAGGCGTTACAGTCGCTCCCTCCATGCCAGGATTGAGCAGTGGAATCACAGCTTCAGCTTTGATGCTCACGACCCGTGTGTCTTCCATTCCCCTGACATCACCGGACTCTTAGAACATTACAAAGATCCCAGCTCTTGTATGTTCTTTGAACCACTTCTCTCTACACCCTTAAATAGAACTTTCCCCTTTTCTCTTCAACATATATGCCGGACAGTTATTTGTAACTGTACGACTTACGATGGCATCGATGCTCTTCCCATTCCACCCTCTGTGAAATTATATTTGAAAGAATATCATTATAAGTCCAAAGTTAGAGTCCTCAGGATTGATGTGCCAGAGCAACAAGCTTAGGAAACATTTTGAAAGACATTCCTGGTGGCTGGTTAGAGAGAGGGGAGGGTGTCTGCTTTTTCTTGCTAGCCTTTCTTTTCCCGCAACATTTATTTATAGTCCAAACTGAACTCTGCCTCCACCTTAGGATTCAAATAGATTTTTATTCCTCTGCCTCAATGGGTAGAATTTTTTGTGAAGACACACTCTGTGGTTTTACTAGTAGTGTTATTCTCTAGGGGTTTCAAGTGCGTTTATTTTAAAGTTTTCACTTCAGCCTAACATTTTTAGATTTCAAGATCAATCAAAATGAATTTTACTTGCCTTTTATAAACTGAATTCTGTGCGGCACAGGGGCATGTTTGAAACACTGGATGCAACAGTTCCTTGAGTGACCAATTTGTATTTTATACCTTTCTTTAAAAATTAGTACTTTGTCCTCTCTTTGAAAAAGTAAAATTAATAAGTCTCTTGATGTGGTTGCTGCTGCTACTGTGTGGACTCTTAATTTCCTTTTAATATGACTAAGGTTAAGAACACACCTTGGGCCCATCCAGTCCAGCTTTCTCTTCAGCGAGTGACCGAGTCCTGCTTTCAATGCCTTTTCTCATTATGCCTAGCATGGAATTTGCCTTTTTCACAGAAGCCTCACTTTCAGTCAACTTTTTCACTGTGCTGCCCACCACAACCCCAAGATCCCTTTCTTGGTCAGTCACTGGTAGCTCATACCTGAAGTTGGGATTCTGGGCCCACGTGTAGCACTTGACACTTGCTCATTAAACAAGGTTGTCTGTCTCTTGAGATTCCACGTGACAACGATTTAGCATTTGGCGCAACAGTCTCGTTTCTTGATCATGTTCATAGGCTGAAAATGCCTCGTTTGAGGATATCCACTAAGACTCTGGAAATGACCATTCACATGAAAACATACAAGGCACGAAGGCTTAGAGCACCAGTCAAGATGAGACCTTGGGTTGGATGCGGACCACACAAACTGTCAATTGCACAGGCTAAGACAAATACTGTTAAAATAATGGTAGGGCATCTCCAGTTACCCCAAATCCATTCTTACTGTAGATTATTTACTCTCTTCCATTTATTTATTTATTTGGATATTTTTATCCCGTCCAATACCAATCGCCTCTGGGTGGCTTACAGTATGATAAATACCTAATAAATACATCAATCAATAACAAGATAAAATGTGAATGATGATGTCAATAAAAACATAATTAAATATTTAATTGAACTGAAGCTCAATCCAGACAAGACGGAGGTCCTGTTGGTAGGTGGTTTGGGCTTCGGGGTGGGGGACCTGGGCCTTGTCCTGAATGGGGTTGCACTCCCTCTGAGGGACAAGGTCCGCAGCTTAGGAGTGCTCCTCAACCCAGAGCTGTCTTTAGAAGCCCAGGTAACAGCGGTGGCAAGGAGCGCTTTCCTTCAGCTTCGGCTGATCTATCAGCTGCGTCCCTACCTGGGGAACAATTGCCTGGCAACAGTGACACATGCACTGGTAGCTTCCTGATTAGACTTCTGTAACACGCTCTACGTGGGACTACCCTTGAAGACGGTCTGGATACTTCAATTGGTGCAAAACAGAGCTGCCAGGTGCTGATGGGGACTGGGCGTTGTTCTCATATAACCCCAGTCCTCCGTCAGCTTCACTGGCTTCCCATTGAAGTCCGGGCCAAATTCAAGGTGTTGGTTATCACCTATAAAGCCCTCAACGGCTTGGGACCTGGATACCTGAAGGAACACCTGCTTCTGTATTTGCCCTCCCGCCCCCTGAGATCAGCGGGAGAGGCCCTTCTCTGGGAACCCTCCGTGAAAGATATTAGGAGGGTGAGCATCCGGAGGAGGGCCTTCTCTGCGGTGGCGCCCCATCTGTGGAATGCGCTCCCCAGAGAGGTCCGCCTGGCGCCATCATTATTCGTTTTTCGGTGCCAGGCCAAGACCTTTTTATTTAAAAGTTATTTTAATTGTTAATTTATTAATTGTATTTATTAGGTTTCTATGTACATGCCGAGATGTTTCTGGTTTTTTAAGTCTAATTATATAATTGTTTGTTTATATTGTAAGCCACCCCGAGGCATTTTGTGAATGGGGCGGCATAGAAATGGTTTAAATAAATAAATACATTTAAAACTGTAAAATACTGGGTAAATAAAAAGGTTTTGACCTGGCGCCGAAAAGCATATAACGTCTGCGCCAGGCAAACCTCTCTGGGGAGCGCATTCCACAGCCGGGGCGCCACCACAGAGAAGGCCCTCCTCCGAGTACCTACCCTCCTAATCTTCAAGGAGGGATCCCGGAGCTGGGCCTCTGCTGCAGATCTTGAGGGGCAGGAGGGCATATAGGGAAAAAGACATTCCTTCAGATATCCTGATCCCAAGCTGTTTAGGGCTTTATAGGTCAAAACCAACATCTTGAATTGGGCCCTGACTTCAGTGGGGAGCAAGTGGAGCTGATAGAGGACCGGTGTTATATGAGAATAGTGACCGGCCCTGAAAGCAGTCTGGCAGCTCTGTTTCGAACCAGGTGAAGTATCTGGATCATCTTCATAGAGTGCTCGTCTTCCTTCCTACAGGGTCGCTGCTAGGCATTTAAAAGATTCAAGGCCATAGGCTCCATTGCCATAATAATGGCCATATCTGGGGATTCTGTGTGGGGATGAGGGTTAACCCTTTCCTCCCCAACCGTGACACCCCCCCCCGGCCACCGAAAATCACCAAGAGGGACAATTACACTTAGAAAAAGCATCCTTCTGGCATCAATATTTTCATTTATTATTAACTTTTTTTTTCTGTTGCCTGCTGAAGAACCATTCAGGCAGTGTTCAACAGCTTAAAAACAACAAAACAAAAAACCTGGCAAAAATAAAAGACAAAACAGTAAAAACAACACATTTTAAAAAGCTAACACGGTCAATGTCAGGCATGCCTCGACAGAAGAAATGTCTACAACTCCCAGCGTGCCCCGACTGACTTGGTGTTTTATTTTATACATGTGCTTTATTATTATTATTTTACAATAATTATAGCAATACAAACAAACTTGCAATGCAATCAACTAAGTTAAATTATCCCTTTGTTTTCCTGTATAAAGACATAAAGCATTCCAACAATGGATAACACCGCAAACATTTGAAGTGGACTTCGGGGCACAAAAGCTGATGGCACAATAGATCTGCTTAATTTATATTGCTGGTCAGTGTTTTTGATCTGGTTATCTGTTCTGTTTTAATATCTAATTATATTTTTAAATTCTGTATATTTGTGGGTGTTTTAATTGTACAAATTTTAATATTGTGACACGCCTTGAGTCCCAATCACTGGAATAGGCAGGATAGAAAATAGCAGTAGTAGTCATTGTCGTCCTCGTCTTTAAGGGAGCAGTTTTATGCAAGTTTAGACAGAGAAGCATCCTACAAATTCCAGCATGCCCTAGGGCAGTGGTGGCGAACCTGTGGCGCTGCAGAGCCCTCTCTGTCAGGATGCGAGCCAAGGTCGCCCCAGCAGCCAAGGGCATCGGATAACAGCGCACATAGGGGCCAAGCGCATGCTCGGAAAGGAGTAGTGGCGCCAGGCAATGATGTCACGGGCCATGACTTGTTCGAGCTTTCGCATGGCTGTCAGTGCACTGCCAAGGATATATATATATATATAGGGGGAGAGGTGTGGGGGGAGGATCGGGGCTCTGGGAGCAGGGTTTTAGAGATACTGCAGGGACTGACAGGACCCCTACAGAGAGGGGCCAGGTATCAGGGAGGATGGGAGGAAGGAGGAGGCTGGGGACTCCAAGGAAAGGAAGCGGTGGGAAGGCGTTGAGGTGCATGTATACCAATGCTAGGAGCAATAAGCAGGAAGAGCTTGAAGCTCTCCTGGGAATAGGAGGGTATGACCTGGTGGGAATCACAGAAACCTGGTGGGATGAAAGGCAAGTCTGGAACGTGAACATAGAAGGGTATCACCTTTTTAGAAAGGACAGGAAGGGAAAGAGGGGAGGGGGCATGGCTTCATACGTCAGGGAAGGGATAGGATGCAGTGAGACAGAAAGCAGCACAGATGGGGATTCGGCAGAGGCAGTCTGGGTGAAACTTAGGGGTTTTGACAGGGAAAGAGACCTGGAGGGCGATAACATACCCCCACTGTCAGGTCT